ACACTTCCTGCCTCAGCGCCCCAGCATCGATAAGAACCAGTTCTAGGCGGATCCAAGCTCAGGCCACTGGGGAAAGGAGCAAGGGGGCGAAGGGCTGGCCTGTGTGCCCAGTGAGTCACCATGATAGCGCCTGGCGGCGACCTCACCTGCCCCGTCACTGGCAGTGCTGGCCTCCCGCTGTGACGCTGCTGGGGGCACAGGGGCCTCGTGCCCTTCCGCTGCTGCTCTCAGCTCTGGCTCAAGGGCCCCCCCAACACCCCCTCCCCCAGACCCTTAGGGACAGGACAGCCCGGCCAGCATCCCAGATGCCCAGCCACATAAACGTCACTTGTCCACGGGACTGACCACCGTGCGGCCATTAGAAAAGGGCGACCTGTACCCGCCGACAGGGAAACGGCGCCAAGGCACGTACACAGTGGAGCAGACCAGCACAAGCAGGAGCAGCAGGGTGTCTGCGGACCCTCTGCCCAGCTCAGCGACCCCCCTGCTGCCACGTGGGGGCGGCACAGAGAGGAGAGGCCGGGCAGTTAACTCCGCAGAGGGACGCAGAAAGCCGGCCAGCAGGGGGCATGGCATGGACCTGCCTTGTTCCCTCGGGGAGCAGGACAGGCTGACGGGAGAAGGCCAAGGAGAGAGCTTCTCTCGGACCTCCCTGGAGGCTGTCCCGTGTGTCTTTAAGGAAGTCTGCGACGTGCCAGGCACTGCCCCGAGTGCTCACCACGGCTGTTCCGCCAACACTGACTGCGCAGCCTCGCAGGCAGGCCTGCCCGCACCCCTTAGAGGGAAGGCCCCGGGCAGGGGCCAGGCCGCTAGTCCCGCGGACAGGGCTCTCCCTCTGGTTTCTTCATTGCACTTGGTATACATTTTTTTAAATGCTATAAATGCAACCAGTCCTCAGATGCCTGTCATGGGCCCAGTGAGAAGTGGCTGTCCTGTCCCTGCGGGCAAGCCCAGTGCCCAGGGCAGCGAGGAGAGCCACGTACAGACAAGGCCCCCCGGGCCCGGGCCCGGCGCTGCAGGGCACTCTTGGAAGGTGAGAGAGGGGCTTGGGGAAACACCCCAGGCCAAGCCCCCAGCCAAGCAGCGCCCCTCTGGAGCCACAAGCCTCCCCAGAGAGAGCACTCCAGAACGAAGCCGTTGCCGTCAGTGACAGGCCTTGATGTCCATTAAAGGGGTGCTGGATCTTCAGTGGGGGGGGGACGGCATGGGCACCCTCAGCGTCCTCAGAGGCGGCAGCACTGAAACGCACGCAGCTCGTCTGCTTCTCCGACCACGCTGCCACGAAAATGTGACGAGCACACGGAGGATCCTAAGTAGACGGCGCTCAGGACACGGCCGGGAAGCCGGCTCGACGTGCCCGCTTCGGAGGCTGTGCGGGTTGGTGCCCGTCAGCAGTGCGAGCCATGTTTACTACAAGTGGAGAAAGCTCGCCAGCTTGGGCTGGAGGGCCGGGAGCGGCTTACAGGCGGCGCGTGCGGTTACATCACATGGGAATCGGGCCAACAGCCGGTGGGCATCCCTGCGCTCCCCGCCCAGGTCACCAGCCGCTGTGGCAGTTAAGTTGCTGAGTGGGGTGGTTTCTCGGAAGCCAGCCGCCTGCCCTGCGCCCAAGCAGCAGGCAGATAAAATACAGGCCAATAAATCCCCAGCCCCACCCCTGGGGCCGGCCTGGCCTGCTGTGGCCCCTGGGCTCAGGCTTGGGGCACAAACAGCAGATCCAGCAGGAAAACAGCACCCCCTCCACACACACACACACACACACACACACACACGCACAGGCTGTGAACCCTCAGCCACAGGCGTGCACAGCGGAGCTGACATAAACACAGGAGCAGGGCGGGGACGGCCCAGCGGGACCCTGACACCCAGGGAACAGAGTCCATGGAG